TTGTTCTCCAGCACAGAGTGACAAATATAGAATTTAAAATCTTGTCCTGAGGAGATCTTTCAAATTCCTCTCCCCGTGGTGCTTTCATTTATTTCAGCGGTTTCAATGAGGATGATGCTCCAATTAGTCTCCTTGAGCTCGCTGTACTAAGCTTCAGTTGCACTAGGGAAGTCCTCCATGTGCTCTGTGGATCTACTCCCCACCCTCCTCTCTGTTCTGTCCCAGGAGGCTGACTTCCCTGGGCTCCTTCTAGGTGGCACTGCCCTCAAGTCAGCTATGTCATTTGACCAAAGGTTCCAGATCCTCCCAAGGTAGCCCTCTCTCCAGGGCTCTCTTCTTCTGGGTCCCAGTAACCCTTCCCTCTGGCCCTTGGGCCAAAGGACAGCAATAACTCTATTACTGCTAGCTCATGAGTACCATGCTAATACTTATGGTCACCCTACACTTGCTGACATATTTGTAACTATTTGTAACTATCCATTCTTTAAATTATCCCAATTTGAATATGCCCTCTCTTTTGTGACTGAGATACTGACCATACATTTACATGTCTTTTTAAATACCTAAATATATCCCCTCAGATGCCCTGCTTCAAATCAAAATCAACATGCTTATTGTCAAACTTATGTGCTTTCCCCAAACTCCTTTATGATACTTTTATCATTATTAAGGTAAAAAACTGAGTAATATCTTAACTAATTCTGTTTCTTTTCATAATCTATCATGCCAAGTCTTATTAGATCTTACATAGTAGTACTGCTCATATAAGCCCCTTCTGTTCCTACTGCTTCTGTGCATGGGATCGGACGCTCAGTCGTGTCCAACTCTCTGCAGTCCACGGGATTCTCTCGGCAAGAATACTAGAGTCGAGTGCCCTCTCTCCTCAAGGGGATCTCCTGAACCAGGAGCTGAACCCAGGTCTCTCAGTCCCCACACTGGGCGGTGGGCTCTTCACCGTCAGCGCCCCCGAGGAGGCCCCTGTTGCTCCCACCTCGTCTCAGCGCTTCCCAAGCCGTCCCTGCCTCATACCACAACAGCTGGTCTTTCTGCTTCACCGTTACAGTTCATCCTCTATGTACCGAGATACTAATCATCTATGAGCATCTACTCAAAACCCTCCAGATCTTGCCGTTTCTTATATGCTTAATTACCAACTCTTAAGTTCAAATCACACACTAGTCACAATTCTTAATGGAACCTATTAATATCTCATTTACTCAGTATCTCCTAAACGTATCTTGAATTTCTACATTCCACCCATTTGTTAACTATATTTCCCTCATTCTACATGCCATTCGCCTACCTGCTACCTCATCCAAATCCTATCATTTGTCTTCCTCCTTTACTTTCTCTAAAACATTCCCTAATCCTGTAATTGAACTTTCCTCTTCTGAACATTTCTTTGAATTTATAAATAGTGCTCAATTGATTTTATGTTGGTTTATATTTTTTTATAATATATGTATCTTATCTCCACAAAATATAAATTACTACCTCCTTGTGGGAAACAAACATGTTGAACACAGTGCCCTGGCACATAGCAAACACAAAATATTTACTAATATGTTTTCACAAATTGGAGGGTTATGAGTATAAATGTAGTTTAAGTTAAGGTACAAAATGAAGAAGCAGGTGCTAAACAGCTCCATCTTTACAGGCAAGTCTTAAAAGTTTTCTAAGAAAACTTACTATTGATTGTATTGGTATAAACTTATTACTTTTTACATGGTAATCTGTAACAACCTTTTAAAATTTATATTATTTATATATGTATTTTTTTAAAGAGTGAACATAAAAACTGATTTCCACATCTTAGTAGGGAATCCAAGAGATGCTCTCCACCCCCAACTCAACACATCAGTCTCCCCAGCAGCCTCGTGGAACTGCTGGAGTCTGCAGCCTCTGGCAAAGGTATTTCAGTCTGCCACAGTCAAGACCACCCTTCACCCATACTTTGTCACTATTTCACAAAAGTTCCTTATGATTACTAAACTTTAGCTATCATCAAAAAGCAACTTATAGGTTTAACTGAATATGTCTGCTTTTTTAAAGTTTCAAATATATTTAGGTTTTCCTATATAACTTAAGAGAAGGTTACTATTACACACAAGCTCTGTGAGGGAAATGAAGATGTTCAGTCTATAAAAAAAGTGAAGCAAGACAGCGTATAGTTATCACTAACAAAATAAATCATTTTATACACAAAATAATGAAGACAGCTAAATGTACATCATTATATGATTTTAGTACTCCTGCCTGGATGACACTATGAATACTGCTTCTCATACAGACATGTATGTATGGGTATAAAGGAATAAAAGAAGAAAAACTTTAATGAAAACATACAGAGAACTGATATAACAGATCAATAAACAGAATTATGAACATTTGTGGACTACTGTAATCTAAATGATAATGTAGGATCATTCCAAGAAGTGTTTCCCAGATGGGCAAAAGGCACTCTTTTCTCTACAGATCTCATTTCTACCAATTCACCAAACAGAAACTGCTATAGCCATCTTATAAATATTCCTTTCCTTTCCTTCCCAATTATTTTCTTCTCCAAAACCTACATATATCTGAGATTTAAATGAAATATTTATCATCACCACAAGAAATGAACCTGATCCAAATCCACTAAAAGGAAACATGTATTACAATAAGTCATAACAACCTTTATTCATCTGTGTAGGTTCTAGATATCAGGAGAATTAAAATTTATTTAGATTTTAACTCATGTAAAAATGCATTTTAGTCTTCAAGAAAAAATCAGCTCAGATTAACTGATTTTAAACTAATCTATGTATATTAACAATCTTACTAAGTTACCATGAGCCAGGGCATTTTTAAATAAATTAGTATATTGTAGTCTCCAAGTTCTGCATGCCTTATGATGAATAAATGTGAGTGTTCTGATTACAGATGTATGAGCCAGTAGTTTTCATTCTGAATTTGGCATTGTTTTTAAAAATGTTATATCTGAATGTTATATCTTACAGTGTTGTTCTGTAAAGAAAGCCAAGAATAGCTACACTATCCTATTCTATATTTTTAGAAGTAATATGGATTTCAGAAGTAAAATGAGTTTTAAAATCCATGAGCCAGAATGGAATTAAAAACAAAATGTAAGATGAACTTCTCAGTACTTTTAGGCTGTTTCAGAATAATATAAGCTATTTATTAAAATCTCCTTTTAGTGTTGAAGAAAAATAAATCTAAAAAATATTATCAAGTATTCAAAAACTACTTTCATAATGCCATTAAAGTAATAGTTCTTTTATCCAGACTCTGTATATGCTCTTTTTCGCACTTGATCTTAGCCAAAAGGCCAAGAAGCGATATATATCCTCTTTTTCGAAATTATAAATAATCACATTATCTCTGTAATGCAAACTATATCATCACCCCTCAGTGAGTTCAAGAAGAAAATAAAATCCCTTAAATGGATTATATCCACTTCCTATTTGGAATTATTTTTGCCATATTAATTAATTAATTAATATTAAATTAATGAACTGTTGACCATTAACTGTATAACCGGTAAGATCTGGTGAACATGCTCTGGTATTTTAATGTGAATTTAAATTTCTACTGATACAAATTTAGCACTATAATTTTCATTTTTCCAAGCTTCCAATTTACTACCAAAATCATGGCTTTTCTTATTTTTTTTTGATCAAAACATTTCCCAGAAATTTCAATCAGTTCTATTTTTTTTATTCAACTTAAGCTATCACACTTTCCTTGTTTCATTAGTTCTATTTAGCTATGCTCCTATAATAAAATCAGTTACAATATCTACTTCAAAATATCATCCTGCATAATACTTTTATAAGTGCTCTTCTTTTCCTCAAGAGGAAAATTCATCTCCGCCACTAAACTTGTAGCTTTAGACTGGAAAACTCTCCAAACTCTCAAAAAAAAAAAAAAAAGTATCTTCCTGCCACTTGCACTGTAAATCAAGTACCACTCCAGACTATAGCCACAAAGTCTTTATGAAGTGTTTAGCTATCTGTTTTAATAAAATGACTTGATTACCACTGCACATGGGGTTTGCCAGCACAGCTGTCATCACTGTACCTCCAAAGAGTAAGGTAAGTTTCAATCCCTCAGCTCAACAAAAAATAAAACTGTGGAGGAAGAACAGGTTTAAGCTGAAGGAAGCTAACAGTCCCAGGGGGTACAACTGGGCCTCAACAAGCCGAAAGACATCAGATAAAAATTTTTTAATCATGAGATTCTGCTACATTTAAAGAAATTTATCTGAAGTACTAGAAATTTTTATTAGGATTGCAAACCAAATATAAGGATTTCTTTTCCTATTAACTAATAAAGAAAAATTTTAATGTTTATTTTATAAAATTATCACTACAATCTTTCTGGTAAAAAAAATCCTTTTTTCTTTATGGTCAATGGCAAAATGAAAAGGTTTCTCCAAGAATTATACATACTAATGCCCAACTAAACATACAGTTATCTCACCACCGACTTACTGAAATACGAAAATTTTTTTTTTTTTCAAAATTTCTAAGAAGACAAAAAAGCAAAGAGGAATTTGATACACTATCACAAAGATGCTTTTGAGCTAGAGAAAAAGAAATGATACTGCTCTAATGCTACTGGTTAAAATAAACTCTAATCTGCTATGAAATGAGGACACTTTATTTTTTTAATTAAGAAAAATCATATACTGGTCTACTGACTTCTACAAATAACAACTAGTCAATATTGCCACTCCCGGGAAAAAATGACAAAAATAGTTTTATTATTATCGGTCTGTAATTTAGAGTCAATGATATGAGATTGTTATACCTCAAAGAATTATTATGTAAAACTTCCTATATATATAAACTCTCTTAAGAAATGTTTCACTCATTTCCAAGCTATGTTAAATAGCATTAAAGAGAGATTTTTCAGTACATTATTCAATTGGCAATAGTTATGTTGACACTTACAAAATGAGAAAGTTAAAAATAATGAACATTTTATGAGATGTCTACCTGTTTCCACATTCTCGGTCTCAACTTCTTGTTCTTCTGCCACATCTTGCATCATATAAGTCTCATCATCATAAACCAGAACCTGGGCTGCATAGCCCTGCTCTAATCTGGCACTTGGAACTGGCTCCACAATCACTGCTGGATATTCAGAAACCTTTCCACTTTCCTACAAGAGCAAATTTAAAAAAATAATCAACTTCTTTATTCACAAACTCTGAATTCATTTATAAATCCTTGAGTTCATATAGTCTCAAGGAGTTCAAATGAGTTTCATGTATTATAAATATGAATGTAAAAACCAAAGCAAGAGATGAAAAGGGTTCATTTTAATAATCTTTTTAAGTCTCAAAAGGTGAGACATATGTTAAACATTTTAAATAGTCAGGGCTTTAGGATTAAGATGGCAAATTAAAAACATGCATATAATTTCACTCTCTCATGAAAACCCACTAAAATGCAATAAAAGACTTTTAGACATAAACTCATAAGAAGAGATAAGAGCAACAAAATCTTGAAAGACTGATAGTGAATGGATGAATATTAATAAGTGGTTTAGCAGACCGAGGAAAGCCAAATCATAGCCTGGCAGCAAAAAATAAATGAGACACAACACACTTTACACTGGAGAATCCACAGAAGGCAATACCAATTACTTCTGGAAATAGAGGAGCAGCAGGTGGTGGAGAAAGAAGAGGGGGGTTAAAACAAGGAAGATTCCATTAAAGTTGTCTGAAAAGCACTTTTATTCCTAGACCTGCTCCCTTCTCCATGATGCTAGGCAACCGGCCCTTCCCCACCTCAGCAGAAGATTGGAGAGTTACTTTCTGGAGAGAGAAAAACAAGAGCATCTTTGAGGTACATAGGCACATTTACTAGTATCAATTCTGTACCCAAAGTAGAGTTCCCAATCAGCTTCTTAGTCCTCCACTTTTAACCATGAGCAGACAGCCAAGTATTACTAGTCATCCAACCAAAAACCTCTAACACAAAGCATACCATTTACTTACATACACATTTATAAATTTACATTCTTCACAGAAATAAGAGAAGATATATCCAAAAAGCAGGAACAAAATACAATTTAATAAAGAACATTAAAAAATAAAGAGTTCTGAGAAATTAAAAACACAATAGCTAAAATGAGGCACGGAGGATAAAACTGAGGCAGTCTTCCAGGAACCAGAGAAAAAAGAGGAGAGAAACGGGAACACTACTAGAGGATCAGTCCAAGATGACCAATGATCAATACCAAGTTCCTGAATAACAGGAGTTTCAGAAAAAGAAAACAGGGGAAGAAAAAAGTTGGAAAGAAATAAAAGAATTTCAGAAATTTTCCTAGTATAGAAGGATATGAGGTGACCATTTAAAAACATCTACCAAGTGTTAAGTATAAACAAATAAAGAATGAGACCGACACTGAGGCACACCACTGTGAATGTCACAATTAAGGAACAAAAAGAGGATTCTATAAGATTCTTGAAAGAAAATACAGGTCATATACAAAGAATCAGGACTCAGACTTCAGTCTTCTCCACAGTCATACTGGAAGGAAGATGGATGAAAATGGAACCATTTCTTCAAAATTATAAAGGAAAATTATTTCCAATCTAGAATTCTGCACCCAAACCATCTTATGAAAAAGTAAAGATATTTTCTCAGACATGAAAGATCTCAAAATGTTTACCTTCCCTGCATCTTTTCTCAAGAAGAAACTGGAGAGTGTATTCCACTAAAAAAGTAAAAGTTTAATAAAGATGATAACCTAGAATATAGAAGGTCTAATACGGGAGAGAGGCAACAGCAGTGTTTAGGAGGATCGGATTGTGAAGAGAGGTTCCAGGATGCCAGCTGTGCACTGCATCTGAAGGGCAACTAATTCAGTTGTAGCAAAGTAACTCCTGAGACAACAGGATAAACTGTCATCACCAAGATGACCACTGACACTGGTCCCTAAGGAAAGGATGCCCATAAGCCTATTTCAGATTTTTATTTATATTTGGCTTATCTTGATATATTTACTTACCCCACCTTCCCTTGATACCTGGATCAGCTGAGAACCTCCCAGATGTATTCTGCTTTATTTAATCTACTCCTAAGTTTTGGAAGACCACAAAAAGCTCAAAAATAAAAAATAAACAATGGCACAATAGCACTCTTTCCATATGATCACATGCCTATTGAAGAAGGCTGCAATACCGAGCCCATACCCTAGCCCAGCCATATATCTGATCAAGGTGGCCTTATGTTTCCACGACTAACTCGTTACACTGCTTACGGGTTACCTGAGTAGAATCTCTGTAAGTTCAGTGAATCCGATGTCAGGCTGGTCAGCCTGTCTCCCAGAAGCTTTTACTAACTATGGTAATGCTGTCCCTTCCTAACTCTAAAACCAAGTACACTACGCATTTTCTCAAAGTAAATAATATGTTGTCTAGGAGATATCCAGAGAGAATAAAACTATAAAGAAAAGTAAAAGACTGTTAGCACATTAAGTCAGGATCATGGCACCTCAGGGAACAGGAGGTGCGGCACACTTAGTGTTCTAAAACACCAATAATTTCTGTTTTTTAACCTGAATGATAGATCATATGTCCTCTTTTTGTTACTCTTAAATTGAAACATAATATCTTATATACCCTTCATTTTGTGTAAAATATTGCACAAATTTTTTAAATAAATTACAAAGCAAAGATAACGGTGAATTTTTAAAAAGAAAGTAACATATTGAATATTAACCTTGAATTTACTGTGTATAAGGCAAGAAATGAGTCCAACTTTTAAACATTAGAAAAAAATTCTTTTTCACCAATTGGATACAGTGACAGTTGAATCTTCATGCTGATCATGCTTCTTGATCAGCTTTATAATCACAGCCTACTGACAGCACCACCCAGTTAAATAAGAGTGATTAATGAGAAGCATGGGCTTCCCTGGTGGCGCAGACGGTAAAGAACTTGAGTGCAATGCAGGAAACCTGGGTTCGATCCCTGGGTCAGGAAGGTCCCCTGAAGAAGGGAATGGCTACCCACTCCTATATTCTTGCCTAGAGATGCCCTGCTTGGGGCTGCAGAGAGTCGGACACAGGGAGACCAACTCCAAGCCAAGGAACACCTGAAGCTGCCAAAAGCTAACAAAGAGGCGTGGGAGACATTCTCTCTCGCAGCCCTCAGAAAGAATCAACTCCGCCAACCTTGTTGTCAAACTCCTAGCCTGCAGAACTGTGACACAGTAAGTGTCTACTGTTCCCAAAAGTGAAATTTCCATGATTTTTTGCTTCCATTATCTGTCCAAATCCTTTTTATCCACTCAGGGCACAGATCCACAGGGTCTTCTACAATCCTCTAATCTGAATCAATTTTTCCATACCAAATACTTCTAGAAAAAGTTGTTTCCCTATTATCACCACTGTACATTATCCTGTATTATAATTACCTGTTTACATATCCAACTCCTTGACAAGACACTAAGAGGACTGAGATCAAGAGCCCATTTTTATATCAAGAGTCAATTACTGTATCCTCCTCAACAATATACACCTCATATAAACCAAACTGTCATTTTAAGGACTTGTAGTTTGGTTCAAATAATGATACAAATAAGTCAGAGGGAAATGATTAACAGAACAGTCCTTCTGTATGATTCTATTTATAAACATATTTGTTTTACATATGTTTTAAAAAATCTGAAGAATATACCTCAAACTATTAATAACACTCTAAGACAGGTGAGAAGATAAAAGGAATTTTCATTTCTGAGTGTTATCTGAATTTGTTTTTTACAATAATCCTGTATAAGAAAAATCAAAATACTTTTTTTCCCATTTAAATATAACAATGACAAAAAAAGAGAAAAATTAAAAAACAAAGGAAAAATAACAATTACTAAAAGATATATATATTAAAACTTATAGGGGTAATTTAAAAATAAATATCATTTCTGTATTATAAAACTTGCAGGATAATACATCTCACCTAATAAAATAAATTATTTAGTTTTAATCAACTTTACCGATGTATTTTTATGTAAATAAAATGCAACCATTTTAAGTGTACAGTTCTATGGATTTCTGTAAATTTAGAAATTCCTGTAACGATCATCACCATCAAGAAATAGAATACTTCTATCACCCCAGGAGGCTCCCTTGCACCCCTCATACCAGTTAAACTCTCACAATCACCACCATACCACCACATACTCCCCCATCCACCCACGTGGACAATCACAGATCTTTCTATCTCTATAAATTTTCTTTTTCTAAACTTTCATATATATGAAGTCAACAGTTTTGCTCTTTTGTATTTGAGTTCTTTGAGAGCATAATGTTAAGATTTATACTTGTCATTGCAAGTTCAGTAGACCATTTCTTTTTATTGCTGAGACTCCCACTGTACTGACAGACCTCTCTACACAGGGTTTTAACACTTCTATTGGGGCTTCCCAGGTGGCTCAGTGGTAAAGAATCTGCCTGCCAAGCAGGAGACACAGGCTCAGTCTCTGGGTCAGAAAGATCCCCTGGAGAAGTGCATGGCAGCCCACTCCAGTAATCTTGCCTGGAAAATCCCATGGACAGAGAAGCTTGGCAGGCTACAGTCCATGGGGTCACAAAGAGTTGACCACGACTTAGTGACTAAACAGCAGCAATACTCCTATTAATGTCTTGCTGTTCCTCTCCCTCCTTTTCCATTAAATATTTACCTACAAATCAAATTACCAGATCATATGGTAATTGTACATCTAGTTTTAAAAGGACTGTCAAATTATTTTGCAAAGTGGTCACATTGTTTTACATTCCCACTAGTAACGTATGAAAGGTTCAGTTTCAGTTCCTCTCCAAACATGCTCTGCAATTTTCACCATTCTCTATGTAGTAGTATTTCGTTGTGTTTTCACTTTGTGTTTCCCTGATGGCTAATAATATTGTGCATTTTAAAAGTGTGCTTATTAGCCATTCATATAGTTATCAGCTCAAATCTTTTTCTAATTTTAATGGATTATCCCCAACTTATTATTATATATCATCTGAATATAAGTCCTTCTATATATTCTGAATACAGGTTATGTGCTGTAAATTCCTTTCCAATCTTTGGTTTGCCTTTCCCTCCCTCCCCCTCACCACACAGCATAAAGGATCTTAGTTCCACACCAGGGATAGAACCTGAACCCCCT